AAGTCTTCCGGTTCATGTTTTTTTTTAATTTGTAATTAATATTTAAGATTTATTAATTTTATATAAAGACCAATTTAGTAAATTTTTGAATATTATACTTAAAATATAAAAATTCTATAAATAGAGAATCATTTTCAGAATATTTTCTATTTACTATAATTATTAGAATACTAGGATTAAAATCATTTATTTTAAATGATCATAATAGTAGAATTTTCTCAAATATCTTATTAATCTTAAACATTAATAAATAAAATAAATTTAAATATAAGATATAAGTTTACATTATTCAATATATTTAATCAAATGTGATAAATAAATAATGTATTTTAACTTAAAATGATCACAATAAGTTAACTTGCAAAATAATATAAGTAATAAATTAATAATGTATTTTATTTAAAATAATCACAATAATAAAATACGCAAATAATGTGTTTTATTTATAGGACTGATATAGTTTTATTGATTATTTAATTTTGAATACTACTATGAATATAGTATTTAATCTATACTTTAGAACTCACATAATTATAAATATAAAAAATATTGTTTTATTACCCATATTTTTATTTAATTAAAAAAAATAAGAATATAAATTTATTATTTGTTTTTCATTTTTGTTTGATCTTTTTAATTATTTCACTTTATTTAATATTTTTAATAAAATAAATAATATATTTTATTTAAAGTAAGCACAGTATAGAATATGCAAAAAATTTATAAATAAAAAAAAGATCATTTTAAATAAAACACATTATTTAAATAAAAATTTAATAAATAAAACACATTATTTGCGTATTTTATTATTGTGATTATTTTAAATAAAATACATTATTAATTTATTACTTATATTATTTTGCAAGTTAACTTATTGTGATCATTTTAAATTAAAATACATTATTTATTTATCACATTTGATTAAATAAAATATATTATTTATTTTATTAAAAATATTAAATAAAGTGAAATAATTAAAAAGATCAAACAAAAATGAAAAACAAATAATAAATTTATATTCTTATTTTTTTTAATTAAATAAAAATATGGGTAATAAAACAATATTTTTTATATTTATAATTATGTGAGTTCTAAAGTATAGATTAAATACTATATTCATAGTAGTATTCAAAATTAAATAATCAATAAAACTATATCAGTCCTATAAATAAAACACATTATTTGCGTATTTTATTATTGTGATTATTTTAAATAAAATACATTATTAATTTATTACTTATATTATTTTGCAAGTTAACTTATTGTGATCATTTTAAGTTAAAATACATTATTTATTTATCACATTTGATTAAATATATTGAATAATGTAAACCTATATCTTATATTTAAATTTATTTTATTTATTAATGTTTAAGATTAATAAGATATTTGAGAAAATTCTACTATTATGATCATTTAAAATAAATGATTTTAATCCTAGTATTCTAATAATTATAGTAAATAGAAAATATTCTGAAAATGATTCTCTATTTATAGAATTTTTATATTTTAAGTATAATATTCAAAAATTTACTAAATTGGTCTTTATATAAAATTAATAAATCTTAAATATTAATTACAAATTAAAAAAAAAACATGAACCGGAAGACTTCCAAAAAGTCTTCCGGTAAACAAACGAAAAAATATGTACCGGAAGACTTCTAAAAAGTCTTCCGGTAAACATACTAAAAAAATGTGAACCGGAAGAGTTCCAAAAAGTCTTCCGATAAACAAATAAAAAAATATAAAAAAAATTAAAAAATAATAAATTTTTATACGAGGATATTTTGGTCCAAAATTTTTTAATGTAGGGGTATAGGTATAAGTGTAGGGGTATGGGGTAAAACTTCCCTCCAATATTATGTTTTTATATTCATTGGAATATTGTGATGTTGGCCTTAGTGCCTAAGAAATGTAGAAGTATGTGATACATTTGATTATTCTGTTAAGAGAATTATGTTATAAAATGAATCTGCTGCTACATGCAAAGTGAAATTGTGAAAGCATGATTATTTATTAAAGTGTTAATGAGTATGACAGGTGTTGTGATGTTTTGAAAGTGATGTGTGACGCCCTTTTGTAAATGCATGAGAATTTACTCTGATTATTCGTATGTTTTCCGTGGGGTTTAGAAGGATGTTACATGTGTGCAGACACACAGTCACACACTCACACACACATTTTCACACACGCGCGCGCACACACACGCACACACACATTTTCACACACGCACATGCACACATACACACATGCACGCACGCACGCGTGCACACACACACACACACACACACACACAACACCACACGATCCATCGCCTAGAAATGAGTGGAGCTTTGAACCAGTTCAAAAGAAAACCATAATTACGCTCTAAATCTTTTATTCTATCCATCATTAAGCCTAAAATTTGCATCGGCCTAACCATTCTCCATCTTTATTTACACTTCCTTCCTTTCACCAAAATACACATCTAGAGCCAAACTCTAAAACACAGAAAGTAGAAAGCATAAATCACAAAAACTTACTTTCACTGAACTGCTCCTCTCGGTTTCCACCATAACTATTGCTTTCTCTACTATTGTTCTGATATGTTATGGTCGTCTTCTTTGTGCACAAGTTCTCTTTGTTAACTTTCATATTTCTTTATTACCTTTTTAATTTCTTCTTCTTCAACAAAATTCCTTCTAGTCTTGTTACAAAATAGTTTTTATGTGTGATTGAGGTGTGAAACATGTTAACTAATGCATGTTTTGTTATGTTCTATTTGTTAAGCTTTCCAATTTTTATATTTGACAATTTTTATATTTGATGTCAAGTGACAATTTTTATATTTGACAATGAATTTATTTTATGATGCAGTGGAAATCATGTCACCGTTTCGTATGAATTAAGAGAAACTTATAATTTGTTTGAAAAAAATAGAGCACGGAATAAAAATTACATGAAGTGTTTTATTTTAAAAAATAATAACATAAAATATACCAAAAAGAGAAAATGGGTGATACACTGACGGTGTAAATTATTTTTACACTGTCAACCAATGACGACCATGAATCCCGCCACATCATACTGATATTTTTTTTAAAAAAATAATGACATGGCAGACTGTTGATTTTTTATTGGATGACAGTGTAAAACTATTTTACATTCAGTGCACATCAATTAAACCCTACCAAAAAAACACGATAACGAAGAATACACTGATGAATATAATATTTAAAAAAACATTATAAATCGATCAACCGAACTAAACCAAACTCGTTAGTTTGGTTCTGTTCTATTTTTTAAAAATGTTAAAAACCGAACCAAACCAAACTGAGGGAGATATCATTGGTTCATACCTTTTTATTTACGAAAACCGATCCAAACCAAATCGATCAGATTCATATGCTCATCAACACACAAATAGCATTAAGATCATGAATAATTGAATAATAACTAAAATATAAAAACATGAAAATAGTACAAAGTCAAACATATAGTTTAACAAATCAAATCAGTTTCATTTAACAAAATCTAATCAAGAATAAATTAGCTACTCATACAGTAATACAAGTCAATCCTATGAATTTAAAAGAAAAGTATATGAAATTCAAGAAAAACATGGTCACTAATAATTGAAAACTCAATTTTCTTCGCTCCAGAATCTCTTTGTTACTCCAAAATTGTTAACCCTTCAAAAATATGTCTTTCTGCCCTTTAAATAGCTCAAAATATATCAGAAAAACATCCGATTGCAGTCACGACCAATCCAATCTCATTGACGATGGGATGGAAAAAGCAGTACTGCGACCGCAATGAAGCCATTTTGTACCCACGATGGTGCCACAAATATTCTAGGGACAAAATGCTTTTTTCCCTAGCTTTTTCTTCTAGTTCTCAAGATTCTTCTTTTTTATTTTATTTTATTTATTCTATTTTTCAACATTTCTTCTTCAAATTAACTCATTAAATCCAAAACATCTTAGAATAAAAAAAAAATTCTAGAAAATAAGTTCTAGTAAAAGTTATGTGATGACAAAATATCATCAAGTCTCACATTAAAAATTCAACATTTAACAAAATCTCTTTAATTTTTCTATTCAAATCTCACATTAGAAAATCAATTATTTTCATTTTGTTCTTCCCTTATATATAGAATTCACTAACAAATATAAAATACATTCAATAGTTTTGTATTGTCTGTTCATTCGCCTACAGTAAATTATATGGTCTTTAATTTAATATTTAGTTTTTTCCTTTTTAAATTTTAGATTTTTATTCAATTTTAAGCTATTAAACTCGGCCGAATTTGAGATATCAAATTGAACCGAGTTGTTTACAAATTTTGATAGAATCAAATTCAATCTAAAAATATTTGTGACTATCTCAAATTGAATTTCGAGTTAAATTAATTTTTTCGAATTAAATAAAATTGAACTAAATTTAAAAGACTTAGAAAAAGTTGCTGAAACAATTCACTTTATTCATAAAATGAGTTGTTAAAGTGACTATTTAATTAAAAAATTGATAAAGTTTAAAAGGTCCATAAACTCCTCAACTAATTTTATCTAATGGCATAATTTCATGTAAGTACTTGTAATTAATCTCATATTTGTATTTCTTTTATATTCATTATTTATATTTTTAATTTTTTAATTTATAATTTGAATCCATATTTATTCATAAAAAATATTTTTTAATATTAAGCAATAAACTTTCGAGATTACTACTTATATGACATCTCTTAAGCTCTCATCAGTATCACTTCATGCATTTTAACTTTTTTCAATCAATGATTATTCATGCTCATCATTCATATACAATGAGTGAATGTAGCAGAGTAGCCACACAACACAAGTATTATATAATCCATAGAGAGAAAGCATGTAGTTTTACAAATATATAAAAACCTTAAATGAGTTCTCCTTAAAAGCAAAAGATAATATAACAACAAGTTTTAAACATTTTCTTCATTAATTGTACAATGATAAACTTAGCTTAAATCATCAAGATCAAGTTTTTCATAATCTTGGCAATGCACGTGGATGAGTGCGAGGAGTGTCCCAATCTGCAGTAATGTGCTCGCGAGTGATTTCTTTCAGTGAACGGCATCCACTCAAAGTCATTGTCATCTCAAACTCCTCGCGTAACATCTGAAGAACTTTTCTTACTCCAACTTCTCCTTCAGCAGCCAACGAATACACCACAGGGCGTCCAATCTAAACATACACCATGCATAATTTGTTAACCATTGAACCGCGGACAAACAGACATCAGACACCAGACACGATACTGATACTAACGCATCGATGCCAGAGACACCAGTTTCAGAAATTTTGAGTATACTTACAAATATGCCAGAAGCACCAAGTGCCAATGCCTTGAAGACATCGGTTCCACGGCGAACACCACCGTCCAAAAATACAGGAACGCGGCCTTGAGCAGCTTTCACAACCTAAGTAATTTCAACAACACAGTTATTATTATATATATCTAGAAAGAATTGATATTAGTATGAACATACCTCTTCTAAGGCACTTATGGTGGCTGGGACATAATCAAGCTGTCTTGCTCCATGATTGGACACAATTATACCAGCTGCACCACTTTGAACTGCTATCCTTGCTGCCAAATTCAACATCAACACATTAATAAAATATTTATGTGGGAATCATTTATTTTATATAGTATGATCTTTTAGATACAACAATGTATCCAAAAGAGTGTATTACTCGAATTGTCAAACATGTTTTGTTTTGCTTACCATCCTCAGCAGTCAGTACACCCTTCACAAGAATTGGCAGGCTCGTGATTGTCTGAAGCCACTTCACATCCTGCACAATTCATAACTTATCTTAGAGTTCATGAAAATGAGTTGAAAACACTTATATACACGTCGCTGGCAGTTTCTTGAAGTTGTGCCAAACATGTTTGCCGTGTTTATCTCAGTAGATAAATTTAAATAAGTCAATCCAAACAGACCCGAGAAAAAATTATGTGTCATACCTTCCAGCTTAGAGTACGATCAATTTGACCAGCAACATAGGAAGCAAGTCCAGAGTCATTAGCCTAAAAGAATCAAATTAACAATTCAATTAATGATAGATGTGAGAAACTAAACTACAGTATTAATTTTATAATAACTGATTTTACTTACCTGGTCCATCTTTCCAAGGTCCAAGCCTTCAAAGTTCTTCAATGTCAAAAATGGTGGCAGAACAAATCTGCAAAAGAAATTTTGTAAGTAGTCTTGGTTACAATAATTGAACCTGCAAAACTTAAATTCAAAAAATGCCTAATCATAAGAATCACATCGCGAGGTTGAAAGAGCTGTACCTGTTCTTGATATCAGCTTCTCTGCGTCCAAGTCTTGGAGTATCAACAGTAAGGGCAATAGCTTTGAATCCAGCTTTTTCAGCTCTTCTCACAAGCTGAGCAACCACATTCCTGTCCTTATACACCTAAACAACATACGGCAAATAGAGAAAAGTATCATGTAAGAAAATCAAACTATTTGCATCAAAAATAAAAATGGAACTGAGAGAATCATGTTTTTCGAGGCTTACATATAGCTGGAAAAAGCGAATGCCAGGTCCTGTTGAAGCCACTTCTTCAACACTTGAAGTTGCCCATGATGACAAAGTCTGAAAGAATCAGCAAGTTACTCGTTAATAACAATATAGACCCTATTATCTCATAATCCAATAGCTTCAAAATTCACAAACAGATGATAGATATCTTGAAATTAGTCACAGGTTGCTGAATGAAAAACATACCATGATTGTTCCAGCAGCTGATGCAGCTCTTGCTGTTGCATACTCTCCTGCACAAGAAATGAAAAAAATTATATTTCATCAAATACAACTCTATGTGATGGCACTAGATAGTTCAAATTTATCTGTCTCATGTATTTTCTACATAAATCAAGTATCGGTAATTAACTTAATCAAAACGGTAACATAAGCTTAGAACAATTTCATGTCACACAAGATTTCTAGCAAAACGAACAAAAATACTGCACATAACAAGTTCAGAAATCCAAGAGAATATAAAGAACAAGCGACGATACCCTCAGGATGAGCCATTTTCTGCATGGCAGTTGGAGCAATCATGATTGGCATGGATATTTTGAATCCAAGGACAGTAGTCGTCATGTCTATCTTGCTCACATCGATAAGAATCCGCGGCCTAAACCTGTTTGTATACCAACCATATTTTTCAGTACATGAACCAACACAGTGTATTAAATTAGCCACATAAAAAAAAATCTTACAAAATTCTGGAAAAGGCGTTTCTGTTTTCTTGGAGAGTCCACTGGTCCTCAGCACCAGATGCATAGTAATCAAACACCATCTTTGGCAACTTCTGCTTCGCAATATTCTCGTACTCACTAACATTAGTTATCTCCATTTTCAAAGGTGTTTCTTGATACTGTCCTTAAAGAAACCTGCAAGTTATCAGTTTTCTCATAATAAAAAACCATATTTTAAAACCATCAACTTATTCATCATAATCAGCTACTAATTTTGTAATACTAAGAACAATTTTTAGGCCGATTCGAGTCTTGAAATTTCTAGAGTTAGAACATCATATATAAGAATAAACTAACACTTTAGATGCAAATTTCAGTGTGAAAATTTTAGCTATAAACAAAAAGTTTAGTCTGAAACAATATTGAATTTCTCTTAACCTTCCAACTATCAAAGAGAATGAGTTCTAGTAATCCAGAGTTCAGTCGGAGCGATAGATAAAAAAAAGAACAAGAAAATGTGTATATGCATACATACAAACACTAGTTTTTAATCATGGTTTCAACTAGAGTAGAGTGTAACACGAAAATGAATATGAATACAAAAGCCATATGAAGAGATGAAACTGAACATGGTACAAAAACGGACCTTAGTTTCCGAGACTAAGCAATAGAGTGCATGTAGAGAAAGTAGTAGAGAGGTGAGAAATTATAGAAACTGAAATGAAGTGAAAAATAGCAACGGTTTGATAAAAGTGTGATAAGAATAGAGACAAAATAAGATGGGGCCTCAAAAATTTTGTTGGAACGTGAATGAAGGAAGAATAGTTTTTGAAGTGGATGAGGTTTTGGAGGTGAGTATTATTTTGAAGCAAATTATCTGATCAACAAAGTGAGGTGGTTTTTAGCCACAAACAAGTTGTGTGTTTCACACCATTCTTTCTTTCTTTTCTTCATTATCATCCTCATTGAAAATAATAATATATCTTTCTCATGTATTTTTGGAGGAGTCTCGAAATATGAAAGAATAATGCATTTATCAATTTGCCATTTTCCAAGAATTATGCATGAATGAAAATAATACAAGTGGGTTTGCCAACGAACATAACCTCACTATGCTTATAGATAGGAGTGGCAAACCAGCTTAGGCCAGCTCCAAAATATTGGAAAAAATAAATAAAACAGGGACATAATCAAAGGCGTGAAAATAGGGCCAACATGCAGTTCTTCCACCCTTAAAAACTAAAAATTATAAAAAAAATTATTAATATTCACTGATCTTAACGGATCGAAAAAGAATCTTCAGTCAACAACACGTTGTTGGCTCCTAATTCGTCGATGGCGGAAAAGAGGAGGGGTGTACTTGCAAGACACTTTAATGCTAAAGTCAGTTTCAACAAGAGAGAGAAGGCAAGTACAGGAAAAGGGTGAGCATAAAATACCTAACCTTCCAGTGCAAGAGGGTATTTATAATCTCCCTCCAGCACTGGGCCAACAGTTGCTTTGCATGGGTTGGATCGCTAGACCCAATACGAGTAAATGCCAGGGTCTACGTGGTGCAGTGAAACCAGCATGTGGTCTTCGTCCTAGATCAACTGCTCCGTGATCTTCGGGAGGTGGGTGACCTGTTCTTTCGGATGTGGATAGTTGCCTGATGACGTGATCCTGCGTGGGGGGCACATGGAGCCCGTGGGGGAGATGTGTAAGCGCTTTCCATGTGATGTGATGAACTAGGCCCTCCCCGACGGAGAGATGGATTGGGATGTGCCCAACAGTGGGGCAGCCTCTGGTCTAGTTCAGAACAGGAGCCCCCAAGTCGTGGCTCTGAAGCAGAGGAGTAATGACTTAAGGATCAGTTCTAGCGTCGAGGACCTTCCTAAAGCACTGAGCTCGCGGGAAAATGCGCGTGGCCAGGAGTATGAACTGCTCGACAGGACAGGTGCTAGCGGGGAGACATGTCCGTCAGATGTAGTCCTTGCTCTTTTCCAGCCTCTCCCGGGGAAACGTTCCCGACAATGTAGGGGTCAGGCATTGCGGCTGACGATGTGACTAAAAGGAAGGGAACTGGCACGTCTAGTTTCGAACAGGAGAAGGATTTGAAGGGACGCATGTGGTGTCTTTTAGGGCCACATGTTAAGAGTAATAAATGCCTAGGACAGCTATGAGTAGGGGGTACTTGAGTTCCGAGTGATGCCTCGTTTTCCGTGCTAGAGTTTATAAATAGGGGGAAGTCTACTTCATTTGTATGCTCCTCTCTATTCTACTCAGGAATTTTTTCCCCCAAATCTCTCAAAGTTCTCTCTGCTCTCCCAAGTACGTCCGTCGTCGCAGCCGCCGTCAGTCTTCCTCCGTCGTCCAAAATCTGCTTTCTTCAAGTAAGCCCCTGACCCTTTTTCCAAATTCTATGAATTTTTCGATGATGTTTTTGTTGAGTCTATGAGGTTTCCGACAAACTGATGAAGTTCCAGGAGAACTCATGAAGTTTCCGACGGAATCATCAAGTTTCTGGCGGACTCATGAAGTTTCCGATTAAGATGTCGGGGAGTTCATGAGGATTCTAGAGAACTTCGTGGGGTTTCCAGTGAATGCCTTGAGGAACCCTTCTCCTCGCGAATGCGTGAACATCACGAGGAAGTCTCTTGTCGAGATGAGGTGCCCATGTTCAATGGGGGAGATTTTACGCGTTGAGGAGACTTTCTATCAAGGAGGGAGGCTCGTTGTTTTACGTAGAGGAGAGTCTCCTCGTGGACGAGCCTTTCTACTGAGGAGGGGGCCCACTGTCTTGCGTCGAGGAGAGTTTCCTCGTGGAGGGGGTTCCCTTGGCAAGTGTTATGGTTGGGGATGTTTATCGAGCGGTTCCTCTCCCCTCTCTTTTCCCTTTCACTTGATTTGCGGTGGAAGGGTGGATTCGATCTTAGATATCTAATTCACCATTTTCCTCTGCTTTTCAGGTAAAATGGCCGCAAGGACCGGATGTGCCATTATAATCGATGAGGAAGTCGAGTATGACGCCCCCGTTGAGCAAGTCGGGGTCGAGCAAGCTCGTACGCCTTTAGATTGGGCTGGGAAGGAACCCCGCATTACTACATCGCGTTTCGCCATCGACGACCCGGATGCCTTTGCAACCTTCGAGAAACTTGCCGAGGACGCATCCCCAAATTGGCTGGTTTACAAGCCCAAATAGACGCATTGTATCTATACATCCTTCAAAGGGATGCGGTTCCTAATGTACGAGTTCACGTTTTGGGACGCAGGGCTTCATTTTCCTTTTAGTGGTTTCCAGAAGGGGGTGTTCCAGTGGCTACATCGGGAGCCTTCGCAGCTTCATCCTAACGCGATTGTGTTTTTTCAAGCGTTCGAGCTTGTGTGTCAACACCTCTGCATTAAAGCTACGCTCTCATTGTTCTTTTGCACCTTTCACCTACAACGACAATCCTTTCAAGGTCGGCATAGTTGGGTATCCCTAAAGCATCCGAGGAAGTTCTTCCAGGCGTACCAGGATTCTGTCCGTACCTTAAAGGACAAGTACTTCGTCGTAAAGCCTGTGTCACATGCAATCGTTGACTCCCTGTAAGACCTTGTAGTCAATAAGGAGGACGGGGAGCGAGTGGAGTCTTTATAGGCGAAGTTCCCTCTTGAGTAGTGATGGGCTAAAGACGTGTCTACTTATGCGTCTAGCGGTATCTTACTGCAAGTGCACAGCCTATCGAAGTAATATTTAAGATTATCGATCCACAGGGATTCTATCGTTACTTAGTGCTAGATGAACTTCTAGTTTAGCTAAGGCGAATAGTTGTCACGATTGTTGTTGGTTTTCTAAGACTATTGAAGGCGGAATTAAATTTAAGTTTTTAATAAAATAATACTAAGTCGGTCGGTATGTAATTATACTAACTTAGGTGGGTCAATCTAACCTAGGCTTATAAAGATGTTCACTTAATCTATTCGGTAGAGATTACTAGTTTAAATACCCTCAGCTCACACTCTCGTGGTCTTGAATCAGATCTTATCCCTAAAGCCCTATGCCTGCTCTCGCTAGCCCATAAGTGTTTAGAGGTAATTTTTGGAAACTAAATAATTCTAATTTATCTTAAAGCGCTCTCGCTGTATTTAATTTAAATGCCTAACTTTAGCTATCTGGTTAAGATCTCACACTCTCGTGGTCTTGACCCAACCTAATACCCTTTTCTTACTCTCGTAACGAAAAGGTCGAATTCAATTAAAAAGCATCAGCCAGAATGTTATGTGATTAATTATTTTAGCCCATGGTTATATTTTACCGGTTAAGTTGGTTATAACTACATACCGCCCTAAGGTATTTAGCTACTCATCGAGGTTGAATCAGACACAGAGTTAAATAATAACTTACTAATGGCAGAAAAATAAATAGACATTATAAATAAATTAAATTGCAATAATTGAAAAACCTGATTAACAAATATCTGAGTAGACTCCTTCTTCCACAGACCGGAAGGCTTGGAGTAGGCGGAAATAAAAATTAAAACGAATGCTGAAGGCTGGAAACAAATAAAAGTATAACAATTCCCTAATGTTGGAAATTGTTACACGGTTGGTTTGGATACAAATAAAACAAGACAGGAAATAAAATAATGCTGGGATAATAATTCTGGTGGTAAGGTAATTCGGCAGAGCTTCCGCAGGAAATTTGGATAATGAAGTCTGTCCTTGAGTTCTCCTGAGCTGGTACTATTTATAGAGCTTCCAATGGGCTGGTGCCTTGGTCTTTTGCTTCTTGGGCTTTGCTGAAGTGGTTGAGAAAATGTTGGAAAGTGGCAGCAAAAATGGGAGAAGTCGTCCTCACGTGCTGCCTTGAGGAGAATTACTAGGAGGAGTGGTCTTCAGTGGTGGCTTGACGTAGTCTGAGTCAAAACTTATCCTTGTCATGGGCGTGACAGGGTCTTCACGCTCGTTATTTGATGATTTCAAGTGTCACGATCGTGACTGCTTCCTCACGGTCGTGATGGCCCAAAGTAAGGTGTCACGGTCGTGACACCCTTGTAACGACCGTGGCCGTAACAAATTATGCAGACTTTTTGCAGGCTTCTGTCTTGCTTCATTTTTTGTGGTTTCTTTCGTTCTTTTCTTCTTAATTCATGATTCGGCCTCACATAACGATGTACCTGCAAAATAGTAAGAAAAA